TAGAGTGAACATGCAAAAAATTATTTAGTTCTTGTTGCCATTGCATGTGATGTACTAACCCCTTCGATGTCTATAGCTCAATTTTAGTCTTGTTTTAATGCAAGTATTAGGGTGTTGCACTACAAAAAAAGTTGTATGAATGATGAAAGTCTAAAGATGTGCATCTGCTTTGAATATTGACTAGATGCTGAAGATAGATTACAAACAAAGGATGGCATGACACTACACCTTATGTTTCACTTGAAGCAGATGATCGAAGTCAAGAACAATAGGAGAAAATGATGAAGTCAATATTTTTTGTATACTCAATAATTGTATATCATTTTTTTCAAATTATTGTAAATTTTGTTTTAATTTCATTTAATTTATTTGATATTTTATAATAATGTAATTTTGTATTTTTAATTTGTAATTGTATTGTATTTTTTATATTTTATTAATTTAGTCAATTTTCATTTTTCATTCACCCAACCATTGTATGCTTTGTATAATTCAAATTTAAATGAAATAAAATTCTTATTTTTCTTCAAATTTGTTATTCACTTTGAGTCTTTGTCTCTTTGACTTTTTATTTGGTTAAGTATTTTTTTCCATTTATTTGTTAGATTTCTTATTTTTTTCAAATAGTTTCTAAAAGAATGTTAAACATTTTAGTTTTACTTGGCAAAGAAATAAAAAAAAAAAAAAAAAGTTTGGCCCGATTTGGCCCATCCCCAAGTCTCAGCCTGTGGCATGGCTTAGGCCCGTGGCACGGCATGAGCCCCACATGAGCTTAGGCCATGGGCCATGCTGGACCAACCCCCCAAATTATCCCCAAGGAAGGTGGCATGGCACATCACACACTTTGCACGAGCCGGTTTTACACCTCTACATCTCCAACCCCAAAACGCTCACAAGAACATAGGCTGTTGGCCACAACAACAAAAGTTATCCAAGTTTTTTGTGGAGTGGACATCTAGTATTGGAATGGACTTGTCCCCGTGCATAAGAGGTCCCAACATTCAATCGGATTGGAAGGACCCATCCCCAAACCGACTGTCCATGGGGATCAATTTGTCGTGGCACTTGGTCCAAATTTTCAAATACTTTTCGAACAATTTATTAGGGTTGTGTTTGTTTTCAGTATAAATATTTTGTCGATGTAATAATACATCATTAGACTTCAACACCGATCATTTAAATGAGTGAACCATTATAGTGAAAAGGAATGATTATCAGTGCAAATAATACATTGATTTTGCCAATATTGTCTTTACATCGATGTAAAATTACTTTCAAAACAGATGTCGACAAATATATATCGAAAGTGGAGTTTTAGACGGATCTATATTTACACCGAAAATAAATGCAGCATAGGGCTTTAAAGAGGGAAGTCATCGCCCATCAGCATGGCAAAATGTCCCGTTTAGGAGGCATCCAAATTTGCTACAAACAAAGCGTGTAGAATGGGCTATTACATAATACAATCATGAATATGTGAAGGGTGATCCGAATTCATTAATGTTTTAACAATTGAAACGAACGTCAACCAATGGAAACTTGTTGATTGTGGATTTGATGTTCCAATTGGCTAGCAATCTAAAATGTAATGTTTTAAAAAACGACTATTCGGAACCATTATGACCACCCGTTTATGGGTTGATTGTTCGACCGTACGGTCCAAATGGATGGCCTGTTTAGACAAAAAATTAAAATAATAATTCAAATTAAAAACGACAAAAAACCATTGAATGAATTGAGTGGTTTGACCATCTGGGTCAACAGGCTATTGGCCGATTCAACGACTTTTTTTGCTAGGGACCGTGTTTGAGGTAAAATGAAACTGGTTGTCGGTTCGATTTTTGATTATTTTGGTTGAAACCAAAATTTAATAATATATAATAAAGTTTGGTTTATTCGCTTAACTGAACTTCTATTTCTAAAAACGAAAATTGAAATATTCAAAAACTGAATTAACCAAAAATAAAAAACAAACAAAAAATGATACCGAAATTCTCAATTTGATTTTTCAGTTTTAACCGAATAATGCTCACCCCTACCACTATGCCATACTCCATTTTTCAATAAAACACTATGTCATACTCTAATTGCTTGTCATAACTGTATGCATTCTAATTCTTAACATCTTTTTTTTTATTATTGGTGGATGTTTGTCAATAAATGCTAAATCTGATTATTAAAAATTATATGTGCATAAATATCAAAACAAGTTATGAGAATTAAGGCATATATACACACGTTTTTGTCTTTCCATAATTTAACAGTGATTACCAACTTTTTCTTGATATCTCACACTTTATATAAACCATTAAAGTATGTTTTTGATGTACAAATAACATATCTATAGTCATCTAAAAGTTACATTTGCTGTCATTAATATATATTTTTTGGTTTACTCAAGTTCCCTAGTGTATCAATGCATATATCAAATTTCCTGTTGTATCCATGCATATCCAAAGAATATTGTGTAGGGATGACAACGGATTAAATTTGGTATGGATTTGCCTCAACCCTAACTTAATCCTCTAATGTCCCAACACCAACCTGATAAGTGTTATATAATTATCAAGCCCAACCGGACATGCAACCTTTCAATTGTATTCTTTATTACATATTTTGAAAATCCAAAAGTCATTAATTTGAGTTGGAGTTTGTTATGGGTTATAAGGTGGAGTTAGAAGATAGAAGATAGAAGATACAAATTTCAATTGTATTCTTCTTCCCATTTAAAATAAGAAGAAGAAGAAAAAACAAAATCAACATGAAAAGAAAATCCTAAGATTTAAGGTTGTGGAGTTAGAAGATAGAAAATTAGGGGAAAAAAATCATGTAGGCTTGTATAGGAATGCAAATGGATCGGATAAGATTCAAATCCGACCCAACACTGATTATGTCAGATCTGATTGGATCTGATATGACTCGATTTGAATTCGAATCATATCGATAAGTCAGATATTTGGATCTGATCCGATCCGACTTGTTTTCTTTAAAAATTAACATATTATTAAAGGTTTGATTCAATTGTGTTCGTGAAAGCAAAAATTGTTTGCACATTCATGTCAGAGACGTGCTAATGGGCATGTAGGCAAAGCTCAAACCAAATAGGATTCAGTTCAGATAAGAATCAGTGCTTTTCAACACAGTGTTTATCTGGATGATAGAATTGGTGGCTTGTTCACAACCTGGATCAAGTCCACCTTTAACCCACCATATTACAAAAGTTGATTTAATGACCCATCAATTTTGGACGGTTGAACCATTGACTCATTTACCCAATTCACCAGTTAATAGGTCATCGATTTTATATTATGTTTATTTTAATTTTGTTTATAATGATGGCATCATGAATTGGCTCTATTGACATGGATGATTGAACCACTATAAAAAATGGTTCAACCAGGTGCGGAGCTTGGGGGACCTAGGGGGGCCATGGTCCTCCATATGCCCACAGTCTCCACTTATGTTATGGATGGTCCCCCTTCCCCCCTACCCCCCAAAAAAAAAGAGACTTCAGGGTTGAGTTTGAAAATGCTGATATGAACATCTTCAACATAACCAGAAGCAGAAATCAATAAATCTAATATTAAGTCCATACTATTATGGCTGTTAATAGTCCATACCATCAGGGCTGTTAATAGTGAGATATCTATGCACGGCAGCCCTGATACACTGCCATCTGGTTTGGGCCTGAGCCAGAATCTGGTTGGTCAGGGGTGCCCATTAGGTCCAATTGATTAAAAAATGGTCTTAATTCTATTTTAAAATAACAATTTAATCCATGAAATAAGAATATAATATATTTTCTGCATGTATGTATTGCGTATATATGTAACATAATTGGAGAGGGCTCTAGTCGGGTCAAAATTGGGTTGGACTCTGGCACCCCTCTTGACAGAGATTTTGATCTCAAAGCAACCAAGGATCCAAGCCCAATCCATATGAAAATATTGGGCTGCGTTCGTCCAGGCGCTCTACTTGGGCCCTCCCAAGTTGAAACCCTAATTTGTGAGTTTGTGTCTTTGATTACCCATCTTCACTGGGTCAGAGCACATAAACCTTATTAATAATTAGTGGGTTCTGGTGGGAACTTGGAACCACATGTGTTTTATATCGGGTCGGGTCGGATCGACCATAGCCTGACATCCATTGACAGGTGATAGCCCTTCACACCACTTCATCCGCAGGCCCAAGTAAAGGAACCCTTGATCCAAAATCCAATTATTGTGGGCCCATTTCATATGCTCAGATCTGCACGCCAAACGTGAATGCGAAGTCATATGGGCCCAGTCTACCAAAAACATTTCATATGGGCCCAAAACTGTTGCCGGTCTCTCTCCAACCCGTATTACTCTATTGTCTACTACCAGGCCGAACTTGGAGCCTCTAGGGTTCTCACGTCTCGCATATGAATATTTCAGTGTCAACTGAAGTTGGCAAGAAACAGTCATAGAAATAGACAAATAGAATTAATTTAAACAAAAACAAAATAATATATATACCCAAATTCTTGAATTTTATTTTTCAATTCTCAGTCTATTTTGTAGCTTCCTTCCCAAGCATTTGGCTATTTCAGTTTCAGCGCTCGAGTTAAGGGTGTCGACGGTTCATTCAACCGCCGAGAAATCCATTGAAGTCTAGAGGTTTTTGAGGTTTATATGGTTAGCTGAATCTCCTTCTTCGTTCGATAGTTAGGGCTTCTTCTTCTGCTTTTGATATTTTAAGCTCATC